CCAGGTGCCATGTAAAGCTTTGTGGGATATTCTGCAGTTCCCATAGCCCCCCAATGTCTCAGAGGATGAGTATCAGCATTTTCCACACACCCCCATTTATCTAAATTGATTACTTTTGAGATAATTCATGCTGATTTGGCTGGCTTTAATCCAATTAATTTTGAGCCCACAATTTAAAATGTAAAAGAAAGAAATACAGATTATTTTAAGACAGAAGATCTTGGTTATCTTACCTCATAAGACAGTAGTTGATAACTGAAAGATTGCATACACAAAGATACAAAACTAGAGTAGGATTGCATTTAGGCAAGTATATTCTGGTGAGAACTAGAGGCTTCAGATACAAGACAATGTTGTTTCTTACACACTGTAGCCAAAGCTGGTCTGAAAAATGACTGGCATCAACCCATTACTTAGTCCCTCCTGTCGGTCTCTTCTATTCCCTGCTTGCTTTTCATCCTCCTGTTTCTGTACGAATGTAGTTGGACCCTTTCTGCTTCCAGTGGAAGTGAAGGGTGGCTTCTTCACTGAAACAGCTGGTGCTCTGTGGCGTCCCTCGGTGGGCAGGTTTCTGTCAGACCGAGTGCACTTTCCACATGTTTGATACTGCCCAATTTTTCAAGTTCTTGAGCAAAGCCAGCAAGCGTGGCCGGGTCCCGCTGAAGTCAGGTGCACAGAGAAATCCCTGCGTCAGGCCTGGGGGTCTGTGGGGCGGGAGGGGAAGGGGGAGCAGTTTTCTGAAAATGCAATAGCCGGTGCAAATGACAGAACGGACCCACAGAGCACCCCGCTTCCTGCTCCTGAACAGGTGCCCGAATTCTCCGTGCCAGATACAATCATACTCAAGCAAACAGAGCTCTGAGAACTGCAGGATTCATCGGGAACTGGGTTTACAGAGCATTTTAAGCAGTGTATGCAATAGATGTTGCAATTAGAAGGAAGAGTGGGTAGAAGCGTGATAATTCTTGATGTTCTGCAAATCAGCGAATTGTTTGGAAGATGGTAATGCTCATCAGCAAAATATTTAGAATCTGGGTAAGACATTGAAATGTGGAATTGTTTGCAATGTTCGCATCCAACAGAACATCTGTAAAACTGAAGATCATTTGCTACTAAAAAACGAGCTTACATCAAGTTATTGCACTATAATTTTAACAGTTATTGCACTATAATTCTATGATACAATGAAGAGCAGAAGACTGTCTGCACCGATATAGGAAAAATTTTCTTCTTTTATGTGCTTTCAGCATGGGAAAATAAATGTGTTGTTAAAGCTACCACGTACATGCAGCAATCAAGAACCAGTAGCTGAGCAGGACAGTCAGGTACTGGGTTTACAGTCTGATTGCAGACCCAGACCAAAACCTGTGCTCTCACGTTTTCTCCAGGAGGTCAACACCTACTACAAAACTAAATGTTTCTTTGTTACTGCACTCTAATTCTGCGGATAATGATCTGACAAGACACATGCAAACTTCCTAATGTGTGAAATAATATATGCAGGTGTGTTCTTCTGATTTTTCAGTATGAACATCCAACCAGTATAACCACCAGAAGGAAATCATACGTATATTTCAGCCAGCTTCTGAGAGAATGGGAATTGGGGTAGAATTCTACTAAAGTATCCTTCATACACTCAGCATTCTAGACAGAAAGTAACTTCAGAGGAATTTTCTGTAATAAGGTCGCGAGAGCAGCATTTTACATGAATAAGTGCTTAGAACATAGAGCGTGTTTTGACAAAGGTGTTCAACAAAAACTTTAGGACAAGCACAACCCAAGACAATAGTTTAAAAACTGTGTTTAAACATTACATGTAGCAACTCATCTGCCTACAAAAATCCTTTCTGAACTAAAGTGAGCAAGTATAACACATAAATGACTTTTTATATGATTGTTTCTGGATGTTTGTTAATTAATTTCGTATTGTCCTTTCCTCTTTTATCCTACACCAATAATTTTAGTGCTGTAGCCATTCAGCTGCTTTGTGATGGTCTTTTTGTCATTCCTTGGTTTAACATTCTGCTCTTTTTTGTTCGCCAAAACCACGGAGCCGCAAATGGTACCAGTGGCTGATATTAGAGAATCAGTACAACATTGTGTCTCATGAATCTAATGTTCTAGCTGTACTTCTTAAAAAACACCACTATAAAGTGATTTTTTATCTATGAGCTAGTACGGTACACTTACAGTGCAGGTAAGAATGTGTTGGTTCTTAATGCTAGATCCAGTCATCATGCCCCACTTCTTCAGGAAGGGTCAACATATTTTTTTTCTGTTTTAGTTTCTCTAATAGTTTCTCTTCTGTATATGTTTGATTAAAAGGATGAGAATTTTTAAATAACCTATTTCAAAGCCTCACGGCCATTCAAGTTATGAAAAGTGTGCTTGCTGTGTAAATAGAGTAATGACTGTGCAGGAATAATATGGAATGATAACTAAAATGAAAGGAAAAAAATTAAGGATGTTGAGTGACACTGAAGTATAGTTCTAGACACTTCTGCATACATAAGCCTTGTTATGAAACGAAGAAATCTACAGATCTTTATTACTATTAACTTCTTGTAGATGTCTCCCTTGTGGGATGTGCATGTTCCTTTGGCCAAGTAGGTCTCAATGTAATAAAAGCATAAGCAATTGCAGTGTAAGTACAGCTTCTCACGTTTTATGGCTTTGGGTGCTAGACTTGGGTCCGTGTTATAGATTTGGGTAGGTTCCCCGGTGCTAGTTTGTACATCAGTATCTTCGTATTTCTATAGGCACCCTAGAGATTTCTAGTCATTTGAACAAGCTGAAGCCGATACTACTGTTGTTACCCAAACATAATAAAAAGGATACATTTTTAGCATACAGTTCGTCTTTTCACATGGCGATAAATGCTGCTCCCAGGAGAATGGGGAGGGTGTCCCTTTGTGCCTTCTTGCTATGCAGTTGAGAGATACCTTCTGCATCCCAAGGAACAAAATCCAGACCAATTTTTCTGAAGACAGGAAGGGTAAAATACTGAAGTCATACTGTTATTCAAACACAGTACAACCTCTTTTTTCTGTGAAGCTACAAGCTCTCTGGATTCTTAGATGGGGGTTGTAAGATGTGACTTTGACTTTTAAAAGAACATACTTTTCTAAAAGTTGTTCCCCGGAAGAAGTTACCTTCTCTGGAAGAGCACTGTTGTTCCTCTTGCCTTTTATTTCTGTTCTCCAAAGAACTATCTCCAAATCCTCCTAGGGAGCAGTGAACTAATTAAAGAATCACTTAGCTAAAAGGAAGGGTTATCAGGTTGATTAGGAGGAAGACCAAGTTATTATTCTGTG